TTCTGGAGGAATAACAAATGGTGCACAATGGTATGATGTACCTGGTGGTATGCAAGATTTTAATTATTTAAATAGTAATGCATTTGAAATAACATTGGAATTAAGTTGTTGTAAATATCCATCAGCTACAGATGGTATTCTTCAAAAAGAATGGGATAATAATAAAGAAGCTTTACTTTCATATATGGAAATGGTAAGTAATATACAAAAATAAAAAAAAAGAAAGATATATATGTATGTATGTGTTTTATTTAGAGTCATCTTGGTATAAAAGGTTTTATTCGTGATGCTAAAACACATACGGGTATTTCAGGTGCATTAATTCAAGTTGAAGGTGTTCTTCATCCAGTTCGTAGTGTTAAATATGGTGCCTATTGGCGTTTATTATTACCTGGTTTACATAATATAACAGTAACAGCATCAGGATATTTGCCACAAACGGAATTTAATGTTAATGTAACGAATGAAAATTTAACAAATGTAAGATTTTATATATTTGATTAAACAAAACAAATTAAGAGTATCGATAGAATTTGAAATTTAAAATAAGACAAAAGTGATACAGAATTCAATGAAAAATCAATTATAAAATGAATTTTTTTTCTAAATAACTTTCTTTTTTAGGAATGTAGCATAATGCAAAAATGTTCATACATAAAATAGAAAGACATTTACTCCTAACAGATTGCTATTAGTGCATGTGTCATGTTTAGAATCTCTATCGGATTCCAATTTTTTTGGAGCCGATGAGTTCTAATTGTCTAAAAAATGTGTAGGATGCACCAATCACCGAAAGGAAGTATCTCGTATTTTTCGGACAACTATCATGTTCCGATTAGGAAATTTCATTGAGAGTATCAAAGTACAGTTCAAAAATTTTACACCTGGCAACCTCTACTTCTCGGACTTTTTAACAAAAAAAAAACAAACCGTTCTGTATTATCTTTTAAAATTTCATTATCAAATTTTCTGTTCTCATCAAAAACAAAAAGAAAATTTCCTGTCTTTTTTTTTTAAAGGCTCTTCGTCTTGATTTTAATTTACAACCTATTTCTCCAGATACATTATCAGCTGTTAAAGATGTTTCATCAATAAATGATGTTTATAATTTATTATCAACTTATGCTGAAAAATTAATGAATACTTCACGTGAAAATGTTCTTAAAACTTTAATTGAACCAACAACTAAATTTCAATATCATAATTATGATTCAATGGTAGAAAAATTAAAAGAATTAAATAATCAATATCCAAATATAACAAGTTTATATACAATTGGTAAAAGTAATGAAAAACGTGATTTATGGGTTATGGTTATAAGTGATCAACCACTTATACATGAACCAGGTGAACCAGAAGTTAGATATATTGGAAATATACATGGTGATGAAAGTGTTGGAAGAGAATGTTTAATTTTTTTTATCGAATATTTATGTATAAATTATGAAAAAAACGAATATATAACTCAACTTATTAATAATGTAAGTATTATATTTTTATTTATTTTTTTTTTGAATCAATCTAATTAATTCTTTTCATTATTAAAGATTCGTATACATATAATGCCAACAATGAATCCTGATGGTTTTGAATATGAATATAAACAAACCGAACATGCACAAGGACCTGGTCGTTTAAATGCTAATCATATTGATTTAAATAGAAATTTTCCAAAAATTGAACTTGAATCATTAAACAATCAAAATGATAATGATATTGTTATACCAAAACAAAATACTGATAATAATAATAATAAATATTATTTAGATGAATTAACTAATACACAAAAAAATCTTGAACCAGAAGTTCGTGCTGTTATGCATTGGTCAATTATTTATCCATTTGTTTTATCAGCAAATTTACATGGTGGTGCACTTGTTGCTAATTATCCATTTGATAAAAAAATAGAAAATTCAAATAGAAAAGAAAGTAAATCACCTGATGATCAAACATTTCAAATGCTTTCTAAAGCTTATTCATATGTAAATTATTTTATTTTTTGTTATTATAAAAAAATCTAATTTGATTTTTTTTGTTTTGTTCATATAAGGCTCATCCAAGTATGTATAAAGGTAATGCATGTATTAGATTTAATAATGGAATAACAAATGGTGCTGCTTGGTATGTTGTTGATGGTGGTATGCAAGATTGGTCATATGCTTATACATCTGATATGGAAATAACAATTGAATTAGGTTGTAATAAATATCCTGATGAAACTGATTTAAAATCATATTGGGATGATAATAAAGGAGCTTTATTAGCTTATATTACTCAAGTATTTATATTATCATTTAGAAAAATATAGAAAAATTTCTTTGTTTGTTTGTTTATTTGTTTATTTGTTTTAAATTAGGTTGTTCATGGTATTCGTGGTTTTGTATTTGATTCAAAAACAAAAATTCCTTTATCAGGTGTTGTTATTCATGTACATGGTATTCAACATAACGTTAGTAGTTATCGTGATGGTGACTTTTTTCGTTTATTAACACCTGGTACATACGATATAACAGCTGAACGTATTGGGTATGTTAACTAAATATTGTTTGAATATTTTTACAGTTTTAGACAAAAAAAGTTGCCCATCATGAAATGCCGTTATTCTTTCTGATATTAAGCTGATATTTTTGATGCATGCGTACGACAATAAATCCTGATCGTAGACACTAATCTACCTTCTATCAATCCACACATACTGAAGTTATGATTTAAACATCATCTTATCCATGTAATGTTGTCATAAATATTTTCGTTGAATTTCTCATTATAAAGGCCAATGTGGTAGCTATGTGTAGTCTGAATTTCATTAGAAATTACTTTAAAATAACTAAGATATTGTCTTCTCATTAAGAATGTCTGTTGAAAATCCAATGCTAGTTTTTAGTAAGATGAATCTTTTTTACGATGGCTTTGATTAACTCATTTGAAAATTTTAGCAAAAAGTTCCAACAAGACGATAGGTTTGTCTTTAAAGTTTTAGAGTTGCAGCACTAAATGAAGATGAGCTAGTGATACAAGATGAACTCACTATTTCAGAGCATATTAATTGCTAAGATCTTGACTGACGATGCGCGGGACCAAGTTTTTTTTATCTACCGATCCTGTTCTAGAGAAAACTATTCCCGAATTTATTCGTCTCGCATCTAAAATAATTCTTCAATATTCGTTTTTTTTTTATTTATTTAATCGATGACTAGCACTTTTGTTTTTGGCCATCTCTCTTGATTTATGTTTTAATTCATATGATTCATAAGATAATTTGCTTAAGACTACAGAATATTGTACTATAAGCTTGAGGTCCAGTCACGATCTCAGGTACTTCTCTTTCCTATGGTTCCGATAAAGTTTTATTTTTTGTTTCCGCCCGTCTCTAATCCTGACTATCTGTCGAAGGCTTTAGTGATACTAAAGTAGAGAGATAGTGCTGTCTTTACCGCTAGAAAAAAAAACAGTAGTTACTTGTGTAATAGTAAAATGATGAACAAAAACTTTTTGTGGACATATTTCGTTGAATATATTTTTCACAAACTATAATTCTAGTATATTTGAACTGATAGAGAGTTGGTTGACGGTTTTGAATAGGCTTTATTATCGTACGCATGTACCAAAAACATCACCTCAATATCATAAAGAATAATAGCACTTACTGAGGAACGGCTACTTTTGTTCACAACTGTATATGTAATTTATCTTCTTCAATAGATATCAATCTGAAACCAAACAAAGCATACTAATTGGTAGTCAATCTTCAACATATGTTGAATTTAAATTAAAACGTAAAGATTTCTTGAATAATGATAATAATAATAAGAATGATACAAAAGGAATATTCTCAACATTTGTTAATGCAACATCAACAAATGTTCGAACATTATTTTATCGAATCAAAGAATTTATACTTCATCAAAAACTTTTTCTTATTATTGCTGGCATATGTGGTTTGTATTTATTAATAATATTTCAATTATTTAATTTTTTCTTTATTTAGCTTTAGTTTTATCAATTATATTTGCTATTGTTGTAATAAATTTAAGATTTTGTCAAGGATCAACATCACGTGGTCATACTGGTTTTCAACGATATGAACCTCTAGTTCAAGATGAAGGTGATTTACCAATAATGGAACGACATAATGGAAGAAAAGCTCTAAGAAATAATCATATTATAGGAAGTGAATCATCTGATGATGAAGATGATCATACATTATTTTCATCAAAAATCAACAAATCAATGATTTCTTCATAATTTTATTAGAATTTCTTGTTTTGTTGTTGTTGTTGTTGTTATTGTTATTATTATTATTATTATTTAAGAATGTCTTTCGATTATTTTTCATTTCTCTTAAATGCATTCATTTCATAGTGAATCTCATCTATTCAAAACAGACAATATGATATTAATGAATTTTATTTTTCATTAATGCTTTGGTGCTTCGTTTACATATTCTCTTTCATTGATTCATCTTTTCTTTTTCCCTATATTTGATTTTTTCCGTAAATAAAAATGCTCGATTGTTAAATCTCTTAATTAACATATTAAACATAGGATAACAATAACAAATTATTTTATATTCATAATTGTTCCTCTTTCTCTCTAGTTTTTCATATACTAGAAAAATTCAAGGTGTTATCAATTGTTTATAGTATTATAAAAAAAATGTTGCGAAAAACATGTGCATATATATCTCTGTAATATTCATCAGATAATTTATCAATTTTATTAAATACGTCGAAATTAATAAACTATATGATTTACCCATATAACACCGTGGTTATATCTTTCTATTTTTATTTCACTTGCATACATTTCTGTTCGTATACATGCATTACAGGTAAATTTTTTTATGTTTTTCTCTTTTCTATATGCTCTATGAGTATCGTTACATATCTGATGATATTCAAAATTTGATTGACACAATTTCTCAAGTTGTACAATATAAAATATACACGGTTTTTGATAAAAACATCTCGTTTATTATTTATTGATAATTATCAACAATTATGGGTAATCAACAACATAAGCGAATAACATCAACTGAACTTACACAAAAACGTTTGTTGTCTTGTTGCAACAACTTCATCACATAATACTTTTCTAATGATTTCATTTTTAGAGATAGCTGTGCTCAAAGCTACTACAAAATTTACTGAAAAAGGTAAACATATTCTTAATAATATTTGACCAATTTAAATATATACTTTTCTTCTATTAATGTATAGAAATTCGAGAATGGCATGAGGTTTGTTTAAAGAAAGTTGATTTTTTTTAATCTAAAACTATGCCCGATGATCTCTCTTTGTTTCAGGGTTTCATTCGTGATTGTCCAACTGGTCGACTCGATAAGAAAAAGTTTATTGAAATCTTTCAAGCATTTTATCCAAAAGGTCAAGTAGAGAATTATTGCAAGTAGGAAGTTATTTGAAAGAATCATTCAATCGATAAATATAAGACACTTATTCTTAATATCTAGACATGCATTTCGTACATTTGATACTAATAATGATGGTAGGATTGATTTTCAAGAATTTCTCTTAGCCATTGCAACTACAAGTCAAGGTGATCTTGATACTCGTCTTGCCGCTGTTTTTGATATGTAAATTCCTTCTATTAGTTCTATTTATTCTTTTATTAACATACAGGTATGATATATCTAATGATGGACTAATTGATGAAAAAGAATTAACTACATTAATCTCAGCGATGGTAACTTTTAAGTTTTATTATCAGTTTCAAAGAAATTACATGTCTTATTTTCAGTATGATCTTCTTGGTGAAATTGTTTGTAAAGATGATTATGAGCCAAAAACAATTGCTGCAGCCGTTATAGAAAAACTTGATGTTAATGGTGACAAGAAATTGAATAAGGCAGAATTCATTGCTGGGTATGTTTGTACAATAATAATAATAATAATAAATAATGTATTATTTGCGCTTTTTTTTTAGATGTAAAAACAATCAGATTGTTCGTCAATTACTTGCTCCTAACATTTAAATATTGAACAATTTATGTAAAAACAGTTTATTATGAAAAGTTCTTTTTTTTGTTTAAACAGGAATAGAATAATTTTATTACAGTTAAATTTATGCATTTGATTCTAACCAAAATAAATTTAATGTAAATAGATTTTTTCACGAAAAATGAACTTAATGCAACAATCGAAAAAAAAAGAATCTAACTAATAATAAAGAGATGCTAATAACACCATGCGAGGCACATTTAATATGAAATTCTGAAATGTTGAAATAAAACTAAGTCTAACAGAAGGACTGTCTAAGCCAGGTTATTCTTCAACTTCTAGTAGAATAGTAAAACACATAAATGATGATAGAGTTATAAGAAACTCTCTTATGCATTATATTTAATTGTGATCTGTTCACCTGTGGTCAGTATGAAGTCCAGACGAAAACAAATGCTTCGAAAATATACCTTGTTGCTGTTCCTGATAGATAAAGAGGAGATGAAATTAGTTCGTACTGATGCGCGTAGTAGACATTATAGCTTTTCAATCTAATCTAAATGGAAGCTGTAAAATTCAACTGTTGTATGCAGGCAGTATCGGAATAAGACCAATAGAATTGGGAGCATTTTATAGGTGAGTGGATCAGAGTTAAAATCTATTTCCACTTATTCTAAATATTCTTCAAGCTGTCTAGGGAAAAGAACTAAATTTATTATGTTTAAGAGAACAATCATGAGGTCATCAAGTATACGAAGCAATCGATAAAAAAAAGACTTACATTTAATTAAGCAATAAAATAATTTAAATGAGCAATTATGAAATTTTGACAATAATTATATGGAATGAGCAATAATTATACTAAATGAGCAATAGTTTAAATAAATTAAAGGTAAATGTTATATAAGGTAGATTTTATATAAAAAGGGTGTTATAGTGTGACTCACTTATATATCTTTTTCTCCTTTCTTCTCTTCTACGATGTTGTAGTGAAACGAGGTTCACACCTCGCTCACCTACTGTATTTTTATGATTTTTTTCGATGAAAAAAAAATGTTTTTATCGATTTTCATTGTGATGATACAATTTTAAAGCAACATAATTACGACATTCGAAATCAGCGTCAAAAGTAACGTTGAGTCAAATACATTTTAGAGAATTTTTTTTCTTGCGAAAAACTGACCCTTGGAGATCGTGAGATAAAATTTTAATAAAATACAACCATGGAGGGCCACGAGTGAATTTTTTATTGGAAAAAAATTTTCTAAAAATGTGTTTGATTCAATGTGATTTTTGACGTTGATTCCGAATGTCGTATTTATTTTGCTTTGAAATAGTGTCATAACAATGTAAACTGCTAAAAATATTTTTCTTTTTCTTAATAGAAAAATCATCCAAAACAATTATGTGAGAAAGAGGTGTGAACCCCGTTTCACCCTGAAGATATAATTTTGTAGAGAATAAAAATTTGCATAACATATATAAAATTTAGCTTGGCGCTCTTTGATTCTAAATTCCGATAGAAGATAGATAATTATTAAGTAGATATTTTAAACTCATCAAAAAGAGTCATTTATCATCCATATTAGCTTTTATAAAACTTGAGTCGGTGAACACAGTATTACGCTGATATCGGTAATTATGTTCAGTTTTTTATTCTCTATCTCTTAGTGTAATTTATAAAAAAACTTGAATAATTCGTTGAAACGAAAATAAGTGGGCTTGTTACAATGTATTTTTAGTTGTTTTTTTTTCAAGAGTAGATAATAATAGTAAAAAAATCAGCATTGACTAAATTTGAAAAGAAAGCGTATTAAACACTGAAATTTTTGCATTGATGGTATCAGATATCAATGCATTGAATGCACGAAAAAAAGATTTAAGAAGTGACTTCTACGCTAGATAGTCTCACAATTTCTTTCTTAAATATTTCTTCCATAGGTTGACTAATTTTATTTTTTATTATTTTTTCAATGGGATGCTATTTTATTAAAGTTTAATAAAAATATTGTTCAACTACTTTTGAATCATAGTTATATGCGCAATCTCCAACGTTGAAATATCATTACTAATAGAAGTAACGTAAATTATAACAGCTATATTTATCTAACTATTCATTCGATAATCAAAATATATCATGTTTGCTCATCCGTATGAATGATTTTTCTTTTTCTTTTAGGCTTCGCAATCCTGCATAGTATGCACACGCTAATATATATTCAAGGTAGTTTTTCGTTTTTCTCTCTTTCAGCTTTATAAATATCATCACAAATCAGTTGATACATACAGTATTCAACTTGTGTGTAGACATGCACACACACACACACAAATAAACAAGCTTCAATACCTGAGATTTTTCTTTTAGATTTGTATTTCATTTATTATTCATTTGATAAATACAAACAATCATGGGCGGTAAACAAGCAAAACCAGTCTCAACTGAACTCACAGACAAACGTTCGTTTATTTTTTCATTGAAAATATTCATCATAGAATGAATCAATGTAAATTTTTTAATTTTAGAAATTGCTTTACTTAAAGCAAATACCAAATTTACTGAAAAAGGTACAAATATTTATAATCATTTTCTATATAATTTATATATTTCATGATCTGTTTATTTTGTTATTATATAGAAATTCGCGAATGGCATGCGGTTTGTTGAATTGAATTGAATATTATTTTATATCTATGAATTTTTCATGCATTATAGGGCTTTATTCGTGATTGTCCTAGTGGCAAACTTGACAAGAAGAAATTTGTCGAAGTTTACAAACAATTCTATCCACAAGGCAAACCAGAAAACTTTTGCAAGTAGGACCTATTATAACTTTGCATGTTTTCTTTTTCAGCTTATACGTATTTATTGTAATTTTGAATTTCTAGATATGCTTTCGATACTTTCGATTCCAATAATGATGGTGCAATAAGCTTTGAAGAATTTCTTATAGCCATTTCAGCTACAAGTCAGGGTAATCTTGATGATCGTCTTGCCGTTGCTTTTGATATGTAAATATTTCCAACAGTACAATTGTTTAGTTTACGATCTCTTTGATTATGTAGGTATGATATTTCGGATGATGGAGTAATTGATCAAGCAGAATTAACGAAATTGATTATTGCTATGGTAAAATTTTAATTATATTCTTTCGAATAAAATAATTATTGTTCTTCATTTTTTTCAGTATGATCTTGTTGGTGAAACTAATCGTAAAGGTGATCATGATCCAAAAAAACGTGCTGCAGATATTATAGCACAACTTGATGTTACTGGTGATAAAAAATTAACGAAAGCAGAGTTTGTTAGCGGGTATATTTTACTTAATTATATGACTTTATCTTATCATCTATGATTTTATTTTTTTGTTTTGTTTTTTTATTAGATGCAAATCTGATCCAATCATTCGTAGATTACTGGCTCCCAACGCCTAAAATATCAACATATAATCTTCTACAAATATATTTCATTCTCAAAGAAATAGAACAATTTTCTTTTTAAATTTTATTGTTAATCAAGAAAAAAAAACATAGATAGCATACTAAAACATTTGTATAAGTAATATTACGATAAAAACAAATAAATTTATATGAAAGATTAAGGAAAGGTAAATTTGCATTACTTAATAAAAAGATTGATATAATAACTAGATGATATCGGAACTCAACTCAGAGTGTAAAGCATGTCAAATTTCGGTTTGAATTGTCGACATTGCCTAAATAACAGAAACTCTTTTAGTATCTATAGAGTTGATGAAAATTTATTATTATTATCATTGAAAGTTGTTGTTGAATTTAATAGATGCTCAATAACAACATCCACACCCACAATACAAGTTATTGGTACACGACTAATACTTTTTTGTATTTCTTCAATTAAAGAAATATAATTTTTAAGTTTTTCTTAGTGTGCATTATGATTGATAGCGTCTCATACATGATAATCCAAAATGTTGAAGTCCGGACTATTAGGCGGTCATTTCTTTTCATCGATGAATCGAGTGAAGATATTCTTAACTTATGCTAGTGAATCTCAAGCGTTTCAAGTGGAGGAATATGAAGTTCATACACAACCAAATTTCGCTATATTTCATAATTCAATATGATGATCGTATATCTCCACGGTTGTATACAAAGAAAAAATAAAGGTTATTAACAACCGTATTTTTAATTGTACACAGTCGTAAACGATCGTATTTTATTCCGATACGATTAATATATAATGCTTTATTCGGTATATTTCACTCATATCAATCATTACACATAAAATCGGTCTAAAAAAATGGAATAAAATAAATATTTATACTTACTGCGCATTGTATCAATGCGATAAAATGATGTAAAATGAAGGTACCGGTACTTTCTTCAATTTGTTTAATTATGCATACCTACTTTCGAAACAATTTAACAAAATTGAACATACGTCAACTGTACACCATGACATATGGTGATATACTGCAGTCGTATGTCTTCGTATACAGAATCCGTTTCTGGTCACTTTACTCCGTACACATTCATCATATACGAGATTCGTTTACGATCACCGTAACCGTTCGTTTACGAATGTGCCTGTTCGACTTGGGATGTGCTGTTTTGTGTTGTCTTGCTGGTAAATGAAACTATCACTCAACAGACGTCGACCATCAGCTCGTGCATGCGGAAGAAGAACTTCGATATAATTTGTATGTGTTCATGTTGCAAGAGGTTTAAATATAATTGGAGTTAAAAGATTGTTTTTTAGATGAACCTAGTCATACTAAAATTCTTTTTGAAAATTTGGATACTAATCGTATTTCACCATGTTCATCTGCTTCTTGTCGATTTGAAGCATAAATACGATCATTCTGACAATTGAATATGCCATCCAAACCAAAGTATATTCATTAGTAAATAAAATTTGACCATGATTTGTTTTCTGAGCGACTTTCATACTTAGTCTACAAGCGATATTTTTCGTTGTTTGTAATCATCCTTAACATTTAACTGAGTTCTCACATTATAAATATGTAAATGAAGATCGTCTCAAATTATATGCGACTCATTGTTCTCTTGAAAATGCCAAAAGATTTACCACATTGCCTTACACTTTGTGGTTTCTTATAAATAAACCTATGCTACACCTTATGGATGATATTTTTTTTTGTTCGTGTAATTCTAGGTCTACTATAACAAGTGTTTTCAAATCAATTGTGCCTGTTGCTTTATATAGATATTGCCATCGTCTGACTGTACGGTCGAAGACTATCTTTCGTATTTGTTTAGCAGTATCACGCAATGACGTCTCATCATTTGTTGAAAGTCTTGAGAATTTATTTCTCAAATTAATTAAAAAAGAACTTATAGCGATGAAATTGTGTCATTGTATAATTCCTCTAGTGTTCAAATATATGATATAACAGTTAATGAAAACAAATGGATTAGTACTCTACTCTTTCATCAGTACAAAGGTAGGTCATTTATTATGCGACATCCGTTACATCTAATCTTGTTATGGTTATTATAGAAAAGTACACTCCTTGATTCAATTTGTTCACGTTGAAGACTCACTGATAAACTATATCGTGTTTCACTAAACGTTTTATTTAAATACAATAGATATCGATATGTAGCGTCCTCTGTACATAAGCGTTGTCCATTGTATCCATACAAAAATGAATGAGAGTGTATTCATTAATATTGATATCAAATATTTATTGTCATCTACAGATTACGAAGTTTTGTGTCTGTCTTTGTGTACGAATCTTTGCTAAAGAAAGAACTTTGATATTGTCCACTTTTGTTTTTCTCCTCCATATCCATCACACACACCATTATTAATTGTCCGCTATAGAGTTCTTGTTGATTAACAAGAAAGATGTCAACAATTGTCCATCAATGAATTGTCATCAGTTCTAGCGATAAGTAATCATTGAAAAGATCAAAGCCTAGTCTCACTTCATTATATTGGCATAATGAAAATAAAATTCATAGATTATTTATAATATCTGGATTTTAGTTTGGACGAATGAAACATCATATCAAGAATCGGATAAGGGTTGTATCATATAAAGACCCCAATACCTCAAATAAAACTTCAACTAGTTTCAGCTGATATGTCAGTCTCGAAATCATCACCTCCTAAAATATGGACTTTGGAGATGCGGAATTCGCGAAAGAATTTTAAAAAAAAAATCTCGACCGATTGCTATAGCGTGTTTCGTGCCTCAATAACACAATTTATGTTTGTAATGAATATTTAAAATCTCAAATTAGAACAAAGATATCAAACAAAAGAATATTATCATAGTCAAATATTATCAGTTTCCATCATCGTTATTTGGGCAACATGTAAACAATAACATTAGTATCTATTTCAAAGTGGAAGAAATAAAGATAAGATCAGCTTAATATACTCATTTCCAACTAGACTTACAAGCATTTAGTGATTGACTTTTATTCAACATAGACTAGATAACGACTAAGATAACAAGGAAAGAATTCAATTCAATACTTATTGCATACTTTGAGAAGATATCTTGAAAACGAGTAAAAAGCATGAAAATTAATATTAATGCAGAGAAATCGATTAAATATCTTTCCCATGATTAAATGTATCAAATTTTGTGAACTTTTTGATTCTTCTAAGAAATAAGACATAGTTAAAAATATTGAAGTTTTAGTTCTGATGGACATACATCGAAACAAAATGTGTTCGTTGATATTTATTTATTGATCCATGATCGAAGTGCAATCATGGTTATAATTTAGGGACTTATAACCCATAAAAAACCAAACATTAATATTGTTTTTATCAATTTATATTAAGAGAGTCATTCCGTATAAAATAATTCTGTTTATATTGATACAATTAATTGTTACGAGTAGATTATTTCAGTAATCATACATGATGAGTATTCAATTTCTTTTTCGATAAATAGAATTTGCACTATGAGAAAAACTAATACAACCGAATTTTCCGCATGAATTAAACACGTCTTTATTATAGTTTTTGTATATTTTCCGAGCCATTGAGTGCATTAAATACTAACGTCAACAGAAAAACATTATGACAACAAAATATATGCTTTTCTGAATAGAAATTATTTCAGCTTGTCTATCTAAAACTCATCTCTAAAGTAATTTATTGCTTAGAACTATTCTATTATTAGTATTGACATAAGAATGATTCATGTATAAAACAACATCAACCATAATTCTCCACATAGCCACATGGAAAAAATACATAGTTATCTATTCCTGATGATTCTTTGCAGTATTAGATATGCCGGTTGGTCGTTCTTTTTTCTCCGGTTAGTATACTATTAGAATAGTTCTTTTGGGTAAATATTACGAGAATAACATTATTCAGTTGTATTGTATATTATTTGATACAATCTTTTGTAAGATATATTCAGAGAAAGAGTCGATTCTAATTTATATTCTATAAAGAATATAGGAAACATGTTGACATTTTTTTAATCATTTTTTAGTGTTTTTCGAGCAGATATTTAATATCACATTTTCTGTTTGTTTTTCTATCATTTAGACCTACTAGAAACGAACTCTCAAAGTGAACCATTCAAAATTATGAGTGAATTTGCATCAATACCAGTCGTAAAGTGAGAATGAAGTTAAAATGTTTCTTTTTTTTTTAATTACTTTTGCCCGCGAGGGCAATAAAAAGAAAAAAAATTTTCATCTTTCTACCTTGTGTTGCCTTTGTGCAGCTGATTTCTCCATAGTTATGTATAGGTTTTTGTATTTCATCAAGAAAGTAAACATCTGTCGACTAAGAAGCCACTGCTAGCTATATGCATTAAATGATTCACGGTAATGCAAGTTGCTTCGCAACATATATCTTGAAACACATATGATTATTTTACCTCATCTACCTCCTAGTGTGTTTTTTTCATTTATTCTATACTATAAATACCATCGACACAGCTGTCCAAATTCATAAATTTATGAAGAAGAATATCTAAAGAGTTACTTTTCTTTTAGATTTCTTTCTTTTTTTCATTGTTCGCTATTCATTAATAATCATTATTCAATATGGGTAATAAACCGGCTGGCAAAACTAGCTCGACAGAATTAACTGCAAAACGTGCGTAACTCGAATTAATTTAATTCAAAATGTATTATTTTGTTTCATTAATTTTAGATATTGCTTTACTCAAAGCAAATACGAAATATTCTGAACAAGGTAATTTTCTTTTTTTTTTTTTTTTTTTATTATCTATTTCTTTTTCTTTTTTTGATATGTAGAAATACGACAATGGCATGCAGTTAGTTAAATTGATGATTGTTCTTTTTTTGTTCTTTATTTATTTCTTGTAATATTAGGGATTTATTCGTGATTGTCCTAATGGCAAACTTGACAAGAAGAAATTTGCCGAAGTTTACAAACAATTCTATCCAGCTGGAAAAGCAGACAATTTTTGCAAGTATATTTTTATATATAATAATGTCATTCAATTACAAAATATATCTATTGACTTTTTTAGATATGCTTTTGATACATTTGATACCAATAATGATGGTACAATTGATTTTGAAGAATTTCTTTTAGCTATTTCAGCTACAAGTCAGGGTAATCTTGATGATCGTCTTGCCGTTGCTTTTGATATGTAAATATGTCAAATTTATGATTGTTTAATTTATGATCATTTTTTATATCTAGGTATGATATTTCGGGTGATGGACAAATTGATAAAGGAGAATTGACGAAATTGATTACTGCTATGGTACAATTTTAATTAAAATTTACAAAAAAGAAAAAAGTAATCTGTGTTTTTTGTTTTTTTTTCAGTATGATCTTGTTGGTGAAGCTAATCGTAAAGGTGATAATGATCCAAAGAAACGTGCTGCAGATATTATTGGAAAAATTGATGTTAGTGGTGACAAGAAATTAAGTAAACACGAATTCATTGCTGGGTATATTTGATTCTATTATATATATATATATGCCACTTTTTATTTTCTTGTATTATTTTTTCATTAGATGCAAGAATGATCCTGTTATTCGTCGAATGCTTGCTCCTAACGTTTAAAACAGCAACAATAATCACAATACACTATGACAGTTGTTTTTTTTTCGTATACTTAACGCATTTTCTTTTTAGTAACAGTAGGAGAAACCGTATGATTTGCTTTTTTTTTCATCGAAGAGAAAATTATCATAATAATATAGCAAATTTTTTTGTTGTTTGAATAATTAATAGAAAAATTTGTTTCAATTAATATTTAAATCTGAATCATACTAACGATGATTATAATAAAATATAATAAAAAAAAATGATTTGTTCATTGGTTTTGACAATAAAAATGTCTGGAGTTCTTTTGTTGTTTTAAGATGTAAGATATTTGTTACAAATATTACTAAAAATCAGTAACAAAATATTCTTTCTTAATTAACTAGATTATCGAAATTTTATTTTCGATGAAAACCTCTTTAAAATATTCGTATTGGTTTGAAAAGTCTATATTGAATACGGATAGTTAAAAATTTTAAAGGGAAATAAAAGAAGCCCTGAAAATTGTCGAAATGCTAGAACACACCAAAAAGCTCTGACATTTTTGATTATAGATGGAAGTCGTACGTTTCTTCGTTATTCGAAAAAAAAACTGAATTGAATATTCATCACATTCAAACAATGCTCGATTATTTGCACATGCACATCTGTATTGAATGGTTAAAAGAAATAAAACATATAGGAATCTATTACTATAAAAAGTTTTACGCAATTATATATTCAAAAATTTTCATATACTGTATTGCTCAAAAATATAAGAGTAGACAATTTTTTTTTTGCGTTTTCATTTTATATACCTTTTACTTTTTTTCTATTGCTACTTGTTTCGTATGAGAAGTCTGAAGAAATACATATTTATTAAAAAAATCGTATTTTATGGGTTGGTTAACATTATAAGATCAAAATAGTATGTTCTTATTTTTTGTGCAAGAGAGATATCGATTTGACTCGAAAATTATACAAATATGTAGAGGAGCTGATGGTGAACATTTTCATTAAAAAAAAATTTCAGAATTTATTTATGTTTCAATTTAAAATAACATTTTATTAGACAAACTAAATTAATGTAAAATAGCTGGAAAAGCTATTAGGTGCACTTAATAATAATGTCAACAGAAAGAGATTATGATAACAAAATACATGTTTTTCTCAATATAGATTCTGTTAGCTTCTTTCAACTCTTCGATCTAAAGCTCTCATATATAGAGTAATTTATTGCTTAGATATATTCTGTTATCAGTAATGATATTAGCATAATTCATATACAGAGTGTTCCAAAAATCTGAACGAACAAAAATACGTGAATAGCTCTACAGCAGTTCAAGGAATTGGAATAGTTTTTTTTACAGTTTGACCACATATTCATTAGAGTTTTATTCAAAATATTTCAAATAAAATATCTGTGTCTACAGAAATCAGAATTAAAATAGTTTTACTAATGGTCAAATACTAGTCAGCTACTATTGTAAAAATGAAAACTACAAATTGCATTTGGCAAAAACACACTAAGGAAATTTTGTATGAGAACCATATTTCAACGATTTTGTGAAACTAGTATTGTCGGAAATCGCTGAAGTTAATGACGCGTGTAAAAATAAACCAGGGTCAATTATTCGGTCTATGTAACTCTTCTTCGTAGACCAAATATTTGATCCTGGCTTATTTGCACAAGCATCCTTAACTTTATTGATTTCTTCTTCCGTAATTGATGTAGGTCATCCAGAATGTGATCGATTCTCGACAGTATCAGTTTTACAAAATCGTTGAAATATGGTTCTCACACAGGATTCATTTGTCGTATTTTTGTCAAAATCGATTTACACTTTTTGTTTTACAATGGTAGCCGACTCGTATTTGACCATTAGTACAACTATTTTAATTCTGACTTCTGCAGACATAGACATTTTATCTGAAATATATTGAATAAAACTTTAATGAATGTGTGATCAAACTGTGAACAGAACTATTCAAATCCCTTGATCTGTTTAGGAGCCAATGCACGAGAGCGACAATACATTTACTGAAATACCTGCTCAATCGATGGTTCAGATTTCAATGAAATTTTGCCAGTATGTAGCCCTAAGTAAGTTATGAAAACGCTAAAAATTTCAGCTCCTAAAACCTTTCCTTTGTTGAGATATTCAATCCGTAATAGAAGCACCCTCAGGTAAAAAATGACTATAATTGATGCAGGTCATATATATTGTATATTTCGACATTCATCAATAGCAGGATTTTTCGAGCTGAAATTTTGTAGGTATATACTATCATAAGTACCCTACATATTGGTACACTCAAAACCAATATTGGTCGTATTAGACAATATAGCGAGATGTCATAGGTTATACGTAGACATCCTCTCTACCTTGTGATCGGGCTTTCTATCGCTTATAAGCGACTTATGAGCTCCCGCTTTGGAACTAAGTACTATTGATCCGTAGCTATTAGTAGCAATTTTAACAACCCTGGCGTTTTGATTTTGACTCGAACAAAGACCTATTCGAATACATATGTCATCCATTTTGCATGTGTCATAATCGACTCGCGCGAAAGCTACTCCATCGATGGTTGCCAATTTGGCTAGTTTTTTGTATATACCATAAAGAGGCAACTATTTGATGAATTTCTACACAAACTGTTCAAAAAAATATTTTACGGTTCTCAAAATATTTAAGTTTTCCTAAGAGCATCATTGCTAAAAATAGCATAATGGAAGAGATATACGGATTCATTGAACAATCGCACTCAATCTGAAAATCCCTGCACCCCTACAGGGAGTTTTTCGAAAAATTTTTTTTGTCATTTTCAAACGACTTTTTTATGGAGATCAACAGAGGTTAGTGTGATGATTTATACTAGATAGATTTTATCCCATGTGATGGGATTTTTTTTAGACATTTTTCAACGACTTCGTATATATTTCCTATAGGCACAAAATATGCTATTTTTAGCAGTGATGCTTTCAGAAAAATTTAAATATTTTGAGAACGGTACAATATTTTTTTGAACAGTTTGTGTAGAAATTCATCAAATAGTTGCCTCTTTATGGCACATACAAAAAACTAGCCAAATTGGCAACCATCGATGGAGTAGCTTTCGCGCGAGTCGATTATGACACATGCAAAATGGATGACATATGTATTCGAATAGGTCTTTGTTCGAATCAAAATCAAAAGGCCAGAGTTTTTAAAATTGCTACTAATAGCTACGGATCGCTATTACTTAGTTCCAAAGCGGGAGCTCATAAGTCGCTTATAAGCGATAGAAAGCCCGATCACAAGGTAGAGAGGATATCTACGTATAACCTATGCCATCTCACTATATTGTCTAATACGACCAATATTGGTTTTGAGTGTACCAATATGTAGGGTACTTATGGTAGTATATACCTACAAAATTTCAGCTCGAAAAACCTTGCTATTGATGAATGTCGAAAAATATAATATATATGACTTGCATCAATTATAGTCATTTTTTACCTGAGGGTGCTTCTATTATGGATTGAATATCTCAACAAAGGAAAGGTTTTAGAAGCTGAAATTTTTAGCCTTTTCATAACTTATTTAGGGCTACATACTGGCAAAATTTCATTGAAATCTGAGACATCGATTGAGCACGATGTGTTGTAGCTTTCGTGCATTGGTTCCTAGGGGCTATTCACGTTCATCTTTGTTCGAACTTTTGGAACATCCCCTGTATAAAATAACATCAACCACAATTCTACACATAGTCATAAGAGGAAAACACATAGTTAGCTATTTCTGATAAGTCTTAGCAGTATTAGATATGCCGGTTGGTCGTTCTTCTTTTTTCTAGTTAGTATATTATTAGGATAGTTCTTTTAGATAAATATTGCAACGATAACATTATTGAGTTGTATTGTACATTATTTGATAAATTCTTTTGTAAGATGTATTTAGAGAATAAGTCGATTCTAATCTATATTACACAAAAAATGTTTGAAACAGTTTGACCTTTTTTACTCACTTGTCAGTATTGTTCGAGTAAATATTTAATATCACATTTTTTATTTTTTTTGCCATATAGAAGTACTAGAAACGAACTCTCAAAGTAAACTATTCAAATTATGAATATATGCACAGTAATACCGATCGTGGAGAAAAGCAAGAATGAAGTAAAAATGTTGCTATTTTTCTTTCAAATTACTTTTGCCAACGAGGACGATAAAAAAGAAAAAAAGCTTTTGTCTTTCTGCATTGTGTTGCTTTTTGCAGCTGATTTCTTCATGGTCATGTACAGATTTTTGTATTTCATCAAAAAAGTCAACCGGCTTGTTCAAATCCAAATGTAATGCTGTTACGTTTTTGACATGCTTTTCTTCAATTATCTCGGAAGGTTTGAAAGCTAGAAAGTTCACTTATCACAATCTATTCATGCTATAAGAATGACCTTCTGGGGTTGAAGTTTCGGACTTTGAAGAAGGTTTTATCATCACATAATGCTATGACATAAAAAGACTCTTTTTCTTCAGTGCCGCTGATAAAGCTCTAATTTCTTGCAAAATTTTCTCTCCAAATGAAATGCTTCTAGAATCAATCTTGTAGGGCATCGAATAGGCTTTTAAACTATCAAAAAGATTTTCTCTCACAATGGAAGTACGTGTGTTGATAAGTGAAAAGATGGCACATATTCGGGTCAAATGAAAGCTCTTATCGCCAAACTAACAAGGTTAAAATATCAGCGGTCCTTGGCTTGTCTAGAGGAAGATATTTGATTTTTACTGCACTTATGGTACATGTAGGATGTCCACAATTGAAAATTTCAGTGGGATTTCTTTTTCTTTTTTCGTGATGGTTGGATAGAGCTCATCGCGTTGCATTAGAAAAAGTATGGTTCAAATTTCAAAAAGAGATTTTAAAAAAAAATTTGCGTAGGATCGGAATTGTGGATCTATTTTTCCTTATATTTGAAAATAACAGTAACTTGGACTCTTCGTTTAATATTTTTAAAATGTCTTTTTAAAATTTGAAACATACTTTTTGTAATGCAACTCGATGAGCTCTATCCAACCATCATGAAAAAAGGAAAATAAATCCCACTAAAATTTTCAATTGTGTACATCCTATATATACTGTAAATACAGTAAAAATCGAATATCTCCCTCTAGACAAGCCAAGGGCCGCTAATATTTTAGTCTTGTTAGTTTGGCGATGAGAGCTTTCATTTGACCCGAATATGTGCCATCTTTTCACTTATCAACACACATACCTCCATTGTAAGTCATTTTTGCTCAGATAAAAAAATGCAAAAAAAACCAAATGTAGTGCTATTACATAGGTTTTTGTCAATCAATTTTGAGGCATTTAACGTATCCAGAAATATTTTGTTTTCATAAATATTGGTCTTTTCTGTACATCTAATCGTTCCATGCAACAATCAAATTGCTACGTCAAAACGGGGACTTATTAACCATAACAGTACGTTAGAAACCGCACAAGAATGTACAAGTTGTCCTTAGTGATGAAAGACAAAAATAAACATGCCATTTTATAGAGAATTAAATTCTGCATAGAATGGTATGTCACTTAGCATTTTTTGAAAAGAATTCTTAGTTAAGAAAGTCAAAATACGATTGTTCAAAAAGTTTTAAATCCAATTTTCGATGCTAAAATCCAATGTTTTTAAAAAACAATTCATTAATTTTAGATAGTGTTTTACTCAAAGCAAATGCTAGATATTCTGAACAAGGTGATTTTCTCTTTTCTTTTGTTCTTTTTTTATTATCTATTTCTTTTTCTCTTTGATATATAGAAATATGACAATGGTATGCAGTTAATTAGATCGATGATTGGTTTTTTTTTTCTGTTTATTTCTTGTAATATTAGAGATTTATTGATGATTGTCCTAATGGCAAATTTGACAAGAAGAAATTTATCAAAGTTTACAAACAATTCTATCCATCTGGAAAATTAGACCATGTTTGCAAGTATATTTTTATATAACAATGTCATTCAATTATAAAACATATCTATTGACTTTTTTAGATATGCTTTTGATATATTTGATGCCAACGGTGATGGTACAATTGATTTTGAAGAATTTCTTTTAGCTATTTCAGCTACAAGTCAGGGTAATCTTCAAGATCGTCTTAACCTTGCTTTTGATATGTAAGTATGTCAAATATATGATTGCTTAATTTATGATCTTTTTTGATATGTAGCTGTGATATTTAAGGTGATGGATAAGTTGATCAAGGAGAAATGGCGAAATTGATTACTGCTATAGTACAGTTTTGATTAAAATTTACAAATAAAGCAATCTTTATTTTTTTGTTTTTTTCAGTATGACCTTGTTGGCGACATTGATCGTAAAGGTGATCGTGATCGAAAGAAACGTGCTGCAGAGATTATTGGAAAAATTGATGCTAGTGGTAATATGAAATTAAGTAAAATAGAATTTGTTAACGAGTATATTTTATATCATTATATATAGTTCTTTTTTTATTTTAAGGTGTAAGATATTTGTTACACTCTCGATTGGTTATTACTAAAAACTAGCAACAAAAATGTTCCTTCTTAGCTAATTAAATTATAGAATCTTTATTTTCAATAAAAGTCTCTTTAAAATATTCGCACTCGTTTGAAAAGTGTATATTATATACAAACAATTAAAAACTTTGAATAAAATAAAAGATGCACTAGAAATCGACGCGGTACTAGAACACACCAAAAAAGCTCTAACATCTTTAATTATAGACGGAAGCCGTACGTTTTGTTATTATTGCCAGAAAAAAAATATAGAATTCATTTTTTTTTACCACATTGAAACAATGCTCATTTATTTGTAGGCATATATCTTTATTCAATGATTAAAAGAAACAAAAAACATACAAAAATCTATTACTATGAAAAGTTTTACTCAATTATATATTCGAAGATTTTCATATATAGTTGATAAAAACTTTAATAGTACATTTTAATTTACCTGACAAGCAAGTTCAAAGATGTTTGTTTATATTGATTAATTTCATTACTTTTTCTGATAGTTTCCAGGATGATACGAATATCCTATAGATGAACAAGAAAAACTGTCATTATCATCAATATCCGTATCATCTTTTAATGTATAAGCAAATAAATTTGATTTAGCCAAAAGACGACGTCGAACATCAAAATATGATTGACCAATATTTGATGTTTTTCTTATTGGATAAAATTCAGAAATCGATTCATCACCACTAAATACATCACTTATTGTACCAACAGGTGATATTGATTGAAAACGATTATTATTATTATTTTTATGTATATGATCATTCATAAAACTTCCACATTGAACTTCAATACCTTGTATAAAACGTTTTCGATTTGAATTTGGTAAAAGAATAAGAGTCGAACGAAATATTTCATGTTGAAAACTATATGATGAATTTGATGATGAATTTAATCGAAGACGATTACCATAGTTAGGAATAACGATCAATCGTGATGTATAGATTGTCATTTTGGTGCGAAGAATAATTGAGAGAAAATAACACAGACACAATGATGATCTTTTATATATATATATGGTTCACTCGTATTGTTGAACAAACATACATCAAGATGCCATATTACTGATGTATAAATACTCTAGAAGGAGAGAAAGAAAGAAGAAAAAAAAAGAACTATAATATCTTGCCCACTATTAGTGAACACATAACCATAAGTTTTCTTTATTGATATATATATATAGCTGTGTAGTTAACACGTAAAATCGGGAAGAAAAAGAATAATTACAAAGATTATGTCAGTCGTACTAGACGTTCCCATAAGCTTAAATGAACAAATATATCGACGAAGTTCCTATCATATCCACAAATTGGCAATATGTAATCTTGATGTATCGTTAGATTTCTTTCTATATACAAAGAAAAAAGAATGTCAGAAAATGAGATGATGTAATATGAAAAAGACAGATGATGATTCCAGTAGACTTTATTATCTTCTTAGATGATTGGTATTCCATATGTTGATGAGTTGTTGTTTTTTTTTATTGATTCAAAAAGAAAATCAAAATGATTGATGCTAATACGATATCAAAAAATTTAGATGAATACTAGATTTAGAAATGAACTAGATATAATAATTAATTATTAGATAATATGAAAGATTTTCGTAAAATATCTTAATGTTAATATTGATCAAAATATTATTCTTGTTAGTGTTATACATTCATTTATTGACATTGTTCATCAATGATGATGAACTATTTATTCATATATGGCCATTAACATCAAATCAGATTATGTAATTGATAAGTAAAGCACATCGTTCATCAAACTAGTAATATACAACTAATGTTTCTTCTTCTTCTTCTTCTTCTTTACTAAATTTTATAATAAAATGATTCATTTTTCAGACATAAAAACAATATTTATATCACACTTTGAAAGTTCGTTGTACAATATATATTGCTAAAATGACTTATAATTTCCAAAGAAACATATAATTTAAACACACTTGAAACATCAATCTCAAACGACCTTATATAGTAGATTTTTTTTTTCTCTTGGAATTTCTGACATATTAAAAGACATGATAATTGTTGAATAATATAGGTTGTTTTAAAGCTATTCAAGAGTAGAATAATTACATAGTAAATAATTATATATTAATAAGAGTTGACAAATTGAAGGCAAAGACATATGAGTAGAGGTGATCGAATATTTGATATAGAATGAATAAATTTCTTCTATTATAAACAATTTCTTTTTAATCGAAATATTCATTTTTATTGATATTTTATGTTCGACACAGAAATTTTATTACAATAAATTAATCAAAAAATAAAAATCGATAATTCATAGAAAGACTAAGAAATGAGAATGATGAAAAATTATATCGAAACTTCTACTCAACAAAAATATTCTAAAACAAAACTCATCAACCGATAGATACTCGTTTTTCTATAATCTCTTACTGACGTTTTTTTCATTGAGATGCTACCAACTTTTATCGTTATTTTATAGGAAAATAAAAGAATTATCCACTTCTTTTGACAAAATATAATTGAACCTTTTAGTAGCGGAACTCGTATCTATACGAGTTCAGTTTTAATGCGTATCCCTATTAATAAAATCCTCTCTCTTTCCTGTATGCTTTTTTTTTATATCACAGCATCATTATATGGTATCACTGTGAATTGTATGTCAAGTGAAAAAGAAGAAATTGTGGATTTAGACGTCTCTGAGAAAATCATAGGTTATCTATATTTATAATAGTTCAAAGTACTGTCGTTCAAGAAGGTTGAGATTACCGCTGAAACTTTAATCTTATGAAATACTTGACATTCAACTGTATGAGATCTATACGATGATATCGAACGACATATTTATTCATGGAGCTATGCAAAGAATTCCACCAGGTTTCAGGGAACTTTAATCTTCTCGACAAGTACTTGACTTTATAGTGTTATTTGAAGTCCTGCACAATACACTCTTCTTCTTTTGACATATATATCCAATTCTTGGTTTCTATAAGCAAATCCACATGTTTTTTTTTGCGTCATGTAGCCAAAGGTTAAAACAGGCTTATAGAAATCATTGGAAAATTTTATATCAGATAGTTTCGAGAGATTTTAATAAACATTTCAAGACTAAGATTTCCTGATATATTGGAATAGAGTAGTAGACATTAATTCAAAACAATTCCTGGAAGTTAAATAGTCCTTTTTTCGTGTTTACTGAATATTTCGACATTTGACTGCGTTATTTCCTCTAGATTCCTATGCATTCAGAAATTTTTTTGCTACATGTCTTTAAAGTGTTTCACATAATAGCAAACAAAAAAATAACTATTATATCTTTCCCAAAGGACAAATACATTTTATGCTTATCAAGAAGATACACTACATCAATCGATCAAAGAACAAACCATTATCACTTTCATTGTCTTATGAGCTTAGATCATCTATATATGGTAAATATAAAAAGTAAATTGAATAAAGGATGTCAAATCCTTTGTAATTACTTATTCACCTCTATGATATATTGAGATTCTTGAGACCAACATCATTTCGATAACAAATCATGAAAATTTAATGCTTTCAAGGATCAAATTTTGAAAAATTTTCGTTTTTTACTCATCAATTTCTAAAAACAGAGGGCTCAACCTTTCAAATATGATCAACTTTAGCAAAACTGAATCGTCGACCCCCTTCCAATCCAGACAATCTCCGGACACTTCTATGAATATAAAAAAACTATTATTTACAAAATAAAATTAAAATAAACATAATCACTTTTATATTGGCATGCAAAATATCCAATTCTTTGACAATTAGGACCTTACGGAGTGAAAATTTTTTTCCTGTGAATTAATGGCAGCTTACATATACGGCGACATTATTTAATTCAAGGTCGCATAAAGATGATAAAAATACATTTAATGACGAAAATAGAAATATTGAATCGTGCTGATCTTTTTTTTTTCCTTTCGCAATAATCACTAGTGACAGTGAATCTAGTGTAGATGTTTTCTTTTTATTTCATATTATTTGGCATTGAATTGAAAATGTTCGTTTATTGAACATTACAATCGACAACAATAGATGTTACATAAGAAAAGAATGAAATTAGATTTTCGGAGTTTCTATAATTTACATCGATTCGAATGAAATCGGAGTTTGATACAGAGCTCTATTGACTATCAATTTTTTTCTTCGAATATATTCTTGATAAATAAAAATCATGATAATTTGTAAAATCAATTATTTAAACAAGAGTATTCGTCCTAATTAATGAAATAAAATTTGAAAATTCTACAAATATACCGAAACAAAATTGTCGAAAAATAGTTCACTTTATTATGCAAATAATTTATCTATCTCCTCAAAACTTATAAAATACAAAATAAGTTTCAATATAATATATGCTTAATTGAATACAGATATATATATATAAAGAGTGTCCCATAAGTTCTTAGCCTCAATAAAAACTAATTTATATGTAAACAAAGAGTGATCTCTATCCAACTATATCTATACGAACTTCGAGTACTTAAGACGATGCTTTAAATGGCATATTATTTGATAACGTTATATCTTTTAATAATAGTGATATAAGCCTAAGAAGTGTGATAATTGAAATCTTGAAATCGATCAGTAGTTTTTTTAAGAACTTTTAATGAACTGTGAGTTCATTATATGTAGTATAACGCACTTATGCAAAGCGATATGTAATTATCTAGATCGA